GATGTGTAGGGGATGTGTATGGAATGCATAGAGGTTGTATATGGAATGCATATGGGTTGTATATGGGATGCGTAGGGGATGTATATGGAATGCATAGAGGTTGTATATAGAATGCATAGGGGATGTGTATGGATTGCGCAGGGGATGTAATGCATAGGGGGAGGCACGTGGAGTGCACGGAGGGATGTACGAGGTGGGGAAGGGCCCGCGCAAAGTGCGTGGCAGGACGTATGAGGTGCAAAGGGGGACGTATGGAATGCACAGGGGGAGGGATGGGTGAGATGCAGAGGGAGAACGCAGGAGGTGCATAAGGGAGGCGTAGGGGGGCGCGTGATGTACGTAGCAGGGGTGCACGAAGTACCCAGGGGCGCGTGGGAGGCAGAGGGGATGTGAGTGCACAAGGGGCACGTGCGAGGTGTGTAAGGCGGGTCTGGGAGATGCACGGGGGGTGCGGAACGTATGGGGGGACCAGGGCAGGGGCAGCGCCAGGTTCAGAGCAGAGACGCCCAGCACAGACCATCGCCGCGGTGTCGCAAGGAGTGCTGCCGTGTGCTTGTGCATGTTGCACGGCGTTTGCACGTTGCAGGGTGTCTGCACGCTGGAAGGCTTTGCACGCTGCAGGGCATCGCACACCCCAGGGCTTTGCACGTTGCAGGGCTTTGCACGTTGCAGGGCATTGCACGGTGCAGGGCTTTGCACGGTGCAGGGCTTTGCACACTGCAGGGCATTGCACGGTGCAGGGCTTTGCACGGTGCAGGGCTTTGCACGGTGCAGGGCATTGCATGCTGCAGGGCTTTGCACGGTGCAGGGCTTTGCATGTTGCAGGGCTTTGCACGTTGCAGGCCTTTGCACGCCGCAGGGCTTTGCCAGGGCCTTGCACGTTGCAGGGCTTTGCACGTTGCAGGGCTTTGCACACCGCAGGGCTTTGCACGCCACAGGACATTGCACATCCCAGGGCTCTGCACGTTGCAGGGCTTTGCACGCTGCAGGGCATTGCACACCCCAGGGCTTTGCACAGTGCAGGATGTTGCACATCCCAGGGCTCTGCACGTTGCAGGGCTTTGCATGTTGCACGGCTTTGCACACCACAGGACGTTGCACACCACAGGGCTTTGCACACCGCAGGGTGTTGCACACCCCAGGGCTTTGCACACCGCAGGGTGTTGCACACCCCAGGGCTTTGCACGTTGCACAGCTTTGCACACCACAGGACGTTGCACACCCCAGGGCTTTGCACGTCGCAGCGCCTTCGCAAGCTGCACGCCTTTACCCGCCGCCTCCCTTTAAAACCCCGCAGAACCC